GGGGTCAAGAAAAAAAAAATGTTGCGTAGAAATAAGATGTTGATTCTGTATTGAGTCTTTTATGATGAATGTTAGTGTGTTGAGCTCAGACGATATGAGTCTTGAGAGTTTCTTGTGATCACGAACATTGCCATCATTACTGGTTTTAGTGTATTATTTACCACAATCATGATTAATTTGCTTCGAAATGGTTTCCAATGCACATCACTGGTGCAAAGACGAGAAGTACAGCAATCCAGTGAAGGATGAAGAGGGTTTATCTTGTTTTGCTCTATTAAATAAGACCACTGGTGAAGCATTCTGTTGGAGCTACCTAGCCCCCTTGGTACAGATACAATGCAACCTTCTTATTACTTGCTTGGGTTTTCTTATGTTTTTGTCTAGAGCCTACAAGGCAATGCCCTTATATATAAATGTAAAAATGACAATGTTATGCATATATTTTTCACATCAATACAACCACAGAATGTATCAATTCAGCAACAACGTAAGCCATTAACATAACCAAACAAAACTGAAACCGGTCGTCAGAGATGATACCAGGAAGCAGACTTCAGAACAAACCAGACCTGAAACCAGACTATGGTACATATATTACCTTGAGTGGAAGATTGATTTAAAACAATTAAGATGAAGAAAAGTAGACGAAGAACTCTGCAACCGTCGCTTGATCCATGACTCTAGATATTGCAGCTCCTTATTGCTGATTGAGTGCCCGAGACCCGGATATGACTGGATATAAACAAATCTCTTCAAATGTAAATTGTAACAACAAAGAGAAGAGACTATTTCGTTGCATTTTGTTTCACAAAGAGAAACTTCCGAATTATAACATATCCATGTCAACCAAATCTATAAAGAGTTTGATTTTGTTATTATACCTTGAATTCACAAGTTACGCCCGCTTCTTCGAGAAAAGGAAGAGCAGCTTGACCAGCTTCGAAGAGCACAAGCTCATCATCAGTACCATGAGACCACAAGATTGGTGTCTGTAATATGCAAAATCTTAAGACTCAGAAACCCAAAACAAAGTCACGGTAATCAATGTTCCTTCTTTGTAAGAAAAAAGAGTGATGAACCTTCTTAGCTTCTTTGGGAACCCGACTTATGATCGAAGAACTCAGTGGAACCCACCCGCTAAGGACTGCTCCTCCTCCAAGAGTTTTTGGGTAAAGAAGAACACTAGCCAAGGTTAAGGCACCTACATAAAAATCTTATTAAGAGCCACAATGCAAGTGAAAACCCGTGGTAAAGTGGCAAAGAGAAACCACCTCCTTGGCTTAATCCACAGATAAAGACGTTTTCTGGATTTGTTCCTTGTGCAATCTCCTGGTCTACAATGGCATGCACGTTCTTAACTGCTTCAAGCACGCTGCTTTCATCAATCGGAGAGCCCTAACACATAAAAGTTACATACTTGGTGTGACCGGCAAAAAAAATCTCTTAATATCACTTCCACAAATACAAGTTTGCTGGGTTCTATAAACACTGAATTAGCTTAGAGAGAGTGTTGCCAAGTCATTATATCATTAGAAATGTTAGATTAAGTAGAGAAGTCATACCACTCTAAAAGGAAGTTCAGGGACATCAAACCAAGAAGGCATCACGCGACCATCTGCAAATGGGAAGCTTGATTGGATTAAGAGGGCAATGACACCAACAGATACCACAGAGAAATCAAATTGTGTAATTACACATTTTACTAAATTATGTGTATAGCATTAGCAATCGCTCTCTCGAATGCAGACACACAAGTGGCAAAATCTCTTTGACAAATAGAAACAACTTAGACGGCTAAGCCTAGACGAGACATAAATAAACAAAAAAGTTGCCAACTTTACTTCTTCACACAAGGCATATTAAAGCAAAACCCTTTAGCACAATCGTAAACCATGAACAAAGAAATCCACAACAGAATATCAAATTAAGAAACAGAAAATTAAAGGAGAAATCAGAATCGTACTGTTGCAGGAAACTGGATTGTATGGAGCAGTAGGGAAGAGCCACCTAGTGTTCTTCAACTCCGATGATTTGAAGACTTTTTTGATGGGTTCGTTTGGAGGTCCAGAATCTCCCAATCCGTGAAGCCACAAGATGAATGTTCGAGCCATGGTCTTTGAAGAAGAAACCAATGCTCAATCGCGGGACCTCTGTGTATTCCTTCGCCATTTCTATGGTAGTGATCTCTCTGAAAGTCTTCGCGACGACTTCGAGATCAAAAAGTTTACCGGCGAAAGGATCCAAAATGACTAAAATACCCTCGCTATCGATTGATGATTCAAAACGACGTCGTTCTTTATTGCAGCCCTTTGTTGTATTTTTAT